TTGCCTCAGAGAAAACATGCAAGGAAGCTTTGAGGCTGTGACTGCAATCAGAGCCAGCAGTGAGACACTGTAACTAAAGCCAGTGGTGAGACACTGTAACTAAAGAAAATCCAGAGATCCTCTGATGAAAATTCAGCTCTTGGGCATAGAAAATATTCATCAAAAGGTACTGTCTGCATTGCTAGGTCACTTTATGGACGTGCCCTTGGTTCTGTGAACTGCATTTCAAGGGAGTCAATGGCAAATTGTTACATATCTATAAAAGGTTAAAAGCAAAGTGATGCTCCTGTTACTAAGCAAGCAGCCCATGTGTGTTAGGCATATCCCATACATATGTTAACACTTAAGATAATGTGAGACAGAAGTCATTACTATGTTGTTTTGGATGCAGATACAAAACGTTATATCATTGAGTGTCTTGCTTAAGCCCAACAGCTAAGAAGGAGCAGACCTGGATCTCCCTTTCTTCCTTCCTTCCTTCCTTCCTTCCTTCCTTCCTTCCTTCCTTCCTTCCTCCCTCCCTTCCTTCCTTCCTTCCTTCTTCCTTTCTTTTTCGAGGCAGGGTTTCTCTGTTTAGCTTTGGAGCCTGTCCTGCAACTTGCTCTCTAGACCAGGCTGGCCTTGAACTCACAAGAGATCTGCCTGCCACTGCCTCCCAGGTACTGGGATTAATGGTATGTGCCACCACTGCCCAGCTGAGCCCAGATCTTTCTTGTCCCAAAACTCATATTCTTTCCACAGTACCAACTTGCCAGAGCAAAGAGATTGGTGGATGTGTTAGTTGAACTACTGAAGAAAGAGGAAGTGTTTATCTCTAAGAAGGAATTAATAAAATACATATAAATGTAGTAGTTGGATGCAAATATTGAAATCATTGCCAATTGGAGAGAAGGTTTAGTTAAAGTGTCAGAGTAGAGGACAAAGGTGGAAAATATGAACCTAGTCAGAGCAGCTGCCACTTACCAACCACTCACTCTTAGTCAATCCCTTGTACCCTTTCTTTTAGTGCTATAAATTTGGGTTAGCAGTATGACCACCCCCATTTCATAGGAGCCAGAGCAGGGAGAAGATGTGGCTAAGCACAGAACCCTTGCAGCTAGTCAACTGCAGAGCCTCTGCTGAAATCTAGGTCTGCCCTACCCTAGGGCCACCTTCGTACCATTTTCCTACACTGAATTCCTGTGGGTAGATTTCCAATCAATGTAAGGGAACATTTCCAAGTAATTAGGATCTTCCCAAAGGGAATGGACACTCTCTCGGGAAGTGAATTGCCTATCACTGACAAATCCTGGCTGGCAGAGAAGTTGGGTTCCAAGCTTGATGTCTTCATGGTTGTTGAGTTTTATTGTTGTTGTTTTGTTTTGTTTTAATATGAAATTCTATTTTTATTCTATGGCCACAACCCTCAATGGAAACACAATTTTACCTGTAAATTATTAGTCTGGGAAGGGGGGAAGGAATATTAGTGGACATCTTACGGGTCTTTATCACTTTTGTCCACTGAATTCCAACATGATGATAAACACCAAGTGTAGTTCATCCAAGATACTGTAAAGATCTCAGTCTTTGTGGTAAGTGCATGGACATAAGACTCTATACAGGTTCATTGTTATGTTTCATTAAATAAGGGAAAATTGTAATTCTACACATATTGTGAAATGAAAGCAAGATATCTTTGAATATGAAGAGGAAATCCCTAAAAAACCTTAGGACCATTATTACTTTAATAATCTACATCAGTGCCCTACCCTTGATAATTATGGTAAAGGGTAAGAAAATGGACCAAGGCATTTTTGGAAGCTGGTTCAAAATCGCCCTAGTCTTAAGAATAAAGATGAGGAAAGAGGAGGTAAATCCCTAAAATACATTCCTCCTTCCTCCCCAGTTTTGACCATCACCCCATTCACAGTTCTTAAGTAAACCAAGTAATGGAGAATAAAGGTTCTTGGTGTATGTTTCTGTATCTAGAAGTCTAGAGCTGAGCCTTGAACTTCTGGATTTACACATTTGCTGATGATCGAGGTCCTGTGGGAAAGAGTCCTACTTCTTGGTCCTACTGGTAGAGTAAGTTTTCTGCATTCACCAAATAATTACTTTTGGCTACATAGAGACTACCTTGAATGATAACACATGTCACTTTTGAACTCAGATACAGCAAGCAGGGTGGTTTCCATCCAGAGCGCTACAGCGCAAAAAGAGTGACAGCTTCTGTGCAGAGGTTGTCACCAGATGGCCTGAAAAGGAGCTTTGTCTATTAAGGTTACATTAACCTTAGCTCACTGCTGCCCCTGCATACTTGCCATATCTCTTTTGGCTTGTTGGCTTGCTGGTTCACATTCATCTCTGCTGTATCAGTTTTAATTCCCGTTCTCAGTCCTTACGGGTATTACATAATAAATTAAAAACTTGATCAAAGGAGTTTTATGTGTGATGCATCTGAACTAATTGGTCCTGACTTCCAGCAGGGAAAATGAGTAGCCGGGCAGACTACATTACAGGTTCTCATTAATGATGGTGGGAATGCCTGTCTCCCACATGCCAGTCACTGTACTGGCCCTGGGAATGCCGAGATGAGTCCTTACTTCTTCAAAGAGCTTCTGTACAAATGTCATAGTGTGATGCGTGCTATGACACAAGTGAGCCCCAGGGGTTTAAGGAGCTCAGAGTGCTAAGGAGAAAGAAGGTTTCTCTGATCCAAGACTTAAAGGATCTGCAGGGCATCCCCAGAGATTGCAAACTCAAGAGGATGTATGTAGCTAGCTCTGCAGACCTGGGTAGGTCAGGGCTCTGGAATGAGATGGAAACTCCATGCTAGGGATGCCGGGGGGGGGGGGTGCTTTATCCTGAGACAGTAGGAAGCCTTTGTATGGTTTTAGGATAAAAATAGTAGAGTGTAACATGTTTTTAAAAAGATCACTGCTGGTGATGTAAAGAATGGGTTGGCAATGAGGTGGGAAATAGAGACACATCACAGGGAAGATGTTGCAACAATCCAGATGAAAAATGAGGACAACCGCAGACTATGGGGATGAGAAAAACAAATGGAAGACACCATGGGAAGATGTACTGAGGAACTTGATCTTGAAGAACAGGGCAATAGTAGAAGGGCTCACAGCTAGTCCCTGGATTTCTGCCTCATCCAGGCTGTGCAGAGGAGAATGGCAGGGAGGGGCTGATGGTGGATTCAGGTAGAAGACAGGTGAGTTTAAGAAACTTGAGAGTCTTCAGGAGGGAGGGTGTGTAGGGGGATTGCTACAGGAGCCTAGAGTTCAATTAGGAGAAGCCCAGCTGTTGGCTTGCTTGTCCTTTGATATGAATACAGTTTGGCATATTTAGAAGGCTAAGGAAAGTCCTGTGTGCCCAGCAACATCAGATTAACTCTCCAGGTAGCCATGCTGTCTATTTGAAGATGATTTTAAGGTAGTGGGTACAAGAGATGCACTGAAATGCCTTGAAAAGAGTTTAGTGGAGGAATTGTTTCCTTCCCGGGACCCTCTGCAGTGTTCTTAGTCTCAGCCCACTTCTCCTTTTAGTGTTTCTCCAGGATTTCTATAAGTAGTCCCAGTTTCTGAACTACTTAGAAGCAAAGTTGATAAAGAGAAGTGAAATGGTATATTCCTAAACATTTTGTCTTCTTGATAACCACACAAGATTTTTCTATGAACGGCCCCACTTTGTAGACAACACACTTAAGCTTCTAAATGGTTCCATCATCACTTTTGGTGGGAATAGATAGATGGGAAGGAAGAAAGTTACCTGTGTTGTCAATGTTATTATTGAAAAAGAAAAGGAGCTTTGTGAAAAGCTTGTGGCCCCAGTAGAATTCATTAACTGCTGTATTCCAATCACTCAAAGCTAACCTCACAGACCTCCCTGCTTCGATAGCACCCTGAACCAGCCCTCGTTAAGACTCAGCCTCCAAGACATCTTTTGTAATCTCTCTCCCCTTTACTTCTGCCTCTACTTTGTCCCTTCCTGTGTAAAGCCCCAAGCAGCCAGAGGGAACTTAGGGTTCTAAGCATGAAGAAGTTAGTGGTCAGATCAGGAGACCCCAGTGGCCTCTCATCTTCAACTTAGAATACAGGCTCTGAACATCATCTGCATTCTGACCCTGGGTTGTTCTGTGATCCTGCTTGAATCGCACTGGTCATTTTTGCCAGCCCTTCTAGAACTTTCTGTGCTCTGTAGGGCTCATGATCTTTCTATTCCCTCTTCCCATAGTGCATTTGCCCAGCAACCTCCACAATTGCATTGCATATGTCATCCAGGTCTCTGAATTGCTGTGACACTGTTCAGCCATCATAAAACAGCAGCCTCCATCATACTCTGCCCCTCATTCTGGTGGATTTTTCAGCACAGTGTGTCTTCTTGAGTATTGTTATCTACACAGAACTGCTGTGCCTCAGCACCCCGCTGCTGGAATGGCAGCTGGCTACCCATGTTTTCCAGACTCATGATGATTATGTAGAAGCCTGGTTCATGTAGAGGGTGGGGAAATGGAGTCAGTTTCACCGGGAGACCTGTAATAATGTGAATGTCTTAGATTTCCCAACATGGTCTGATTGTTAATTTCCTGAGGCTCCTTCTTTAGGAATAAACGTAAGCAGGTCTCTAAAAACTTGTCTACATTTCCCTGGGTTTAGTATAGATTTATTGCTCAGACAAAGACGGGGAAACCCTGCCCCCCACTTCCAACAGACTAGTTACAAAAACAGGTTTACCACCTCAAGATGTAGTCAATACTAATGTTGGTTTCCACACCCTACCATGCCTGCTCTTCTAAATCTGTAAGTCCCTGCCAGGAGCAGCCATGTTTGTAGAGCCTGTGGAAAGTGCCTCCTGCATAGCGGCTTTTTGATCCCACAGGAAAAGGACTTTCTTTGATGGCTTGGCATCAGTGGACTCTGCCTTCTGCCTCTCCATGATCAGAGGTTTCCTGTTGACACTCTGGACTGAATGCCACATTTAGTGTGTTTTTCTGTTGTTTATTTCCCCCTCAGGATCTTCTATGTCTCTCATGATTCCCAAGACTTGAAAATCTTCAGCTATATCGCTCGAGATGGTGCCAGCAATATCTTCAGGTGTAACGTCTTTAAGTCCAAGAAGAAGGTAAGGGCTGTCGTCAGTCCTCTACTGGTTTTCTCTCTGATGGTTCCAGCACATAACCTGCATCGGCCTGCCTCCCTGTTTAAAGTTTGCAAGTGGATATTTTAATACCAGAACTGGTAACGGCACTAGTCATCTGTCATTGCTCTGACATGATGGAACCCTCTTTGATTTTAGTGTCGCCTGAACTTTGCACTTCGTTACACATAGCAGTAGAGAGGGGTCTACTGTTTGGTACAGTAGAGAGGACCAGACAGACAGGACCAGCAATGATGCTGACTTTAGCTTACAGGAAAGAAGCGTCAACTAAGGTGACCCTTCACCCCAATCTTTATGTAAATCAGTGGGCCAGCTGTATTAGTAAATCATGGCATGGGGAATCTAGCTTAGCTTAGGGTATGATATTGGTTGTCATGGGAAATTATTTTAATACGGCAACCTTGACTCGGAGTAAATGTAATTTTTACACTTCTATAGAAGTGCCCTCTCTCTGTGTCATCCCTCCAGGGGCCTGACACACAAAACTAGGGTTTGGAATGCCTGTCTGCAGAGTAGAAAACCTAGAGTGTACCCCACCCTCCTACTCTAGTTCAGAATGAGTCAGTTGCCACCCCATTAAGTCTCAGCTTCTTTGAAGCTTTATTGATGATAGACAATACTAGCATTTTCTTTTTAAAATGTTTTATTAGCATATAGTAATTATTAATTATACATAGCAATGAGATTTATTATGACATTTTCATGCATGTACATAATGTATTTCAATTATATTCATTCCAGTTACCCCATCTTGTTCCCTTCCTACTTTCTCTGATGCCAGCATTTTCTAAAAACAAATGTATTTTTAAACATTTATCATCCAAAGTGTTCCGTGTTAAAACTACCATGTTTAAGTTTCTGAGAGGCCCTGAAATTAAGGAAGCCTCTTAACGTTTTTAATCTAACATTTCAAAAACTGATTTGACTACAGAATCTTATTTTTTTCCATTCAGTATGTGTGTTTGAAAAGCACTACAACAGTTTCTAAAGTAAAGTTCTACTCTTACAGAGAGAAACCATTGAGTCTGGCTTCTCTTAAGACTTCCAGTCCCCTTCCTGCACATCCCATCGTATGCCTTAAGGCATCATTCATAGATTCTTAGGTACTTGATGTGATCAAATGGGTAATACAAATACAACCCAACAAGGTCAAAGTTTACTAGTATAGGTGTTTCTTGACATGATGAAGGTTATGTCATGATTAGCCCATCTTAATTTGAAAATATTATAAATTAAAGGTGCATTTAATATAACCAGTATAGCATACATTATTGCTCAGCAATGCAGTATCTGTGGACTGCTCATTTCTAGGAGCTGTATCTGACTGCCTCTGTCCAGTGTCCTACTGAACACCATTAATCTAGGAAAGAATTCAAATTGTGGAGTATAATTTCTACAGTGTCTGTGTGTCTGTCTGTCTGTCTGTGTGTCTGTCTGTCTCTCTCTCTCTCTCTCTCTCTGTGTGTGTGTGTGTGTGTGTGTGTGTGTGTGTGTGTGTGATGCCATCCAAGGGTGAAGCCCCCACTTTGTATTGAGTTCTTACCTATGCAGTGGTTATGGTCTTGTACATATACTGTGTACTATTTGGAAATTTGAGTTATAAATAATACATAGTCATTTACCAAGTACTTCAATTATTTGTATCTTTTTATATTTATAATGTATATTCAAGGAAGCCCCCTTTATCTTCATTTTCATAGATTATTAGATTAGTAAGTGAAGACACAGCCAGGTTCTTCTAGAAGGGCAGCGGCTAGAACCAAAGAAACATACAGAATGAAAGGATTTTGAGCGAGAAACATAGGTAAAGGAGATCCTGGGCTCTTTGGGGGATCTAATCTGGTGGCACAGGCAAGCTGGATGTCTTACTTCCAAACCAGAGTGTAAGAATGACCTCTACTGGGAACCCAGGTCTTGGAGTTAGTTAGGTACTAAATCAAATTCCTACTGACCAAGGACACTTACTCTCCTTCCAGTCACCCTGCTTTTTCCACTGCTAGCTGTCAGAGCTACTTCTTACTCCCATGCTCTTAGGTTTTCCCCAATCCTGTTGCCTTTACCTGCTAAGACTGTAGCTCTTCCTGGGACTGGTTCTCAGGCCCTGCGCTGGCCTGCAGCCATGCAGCTAGGAGAATTATTTCCAGACGGCCTGGACTGTGAGCTCGGTTGCTGCTGAACTCTAGACAGGAGGACAAGTTTCCAAGCCAGGAAAGAGCAAGGAATTGTTCAGCAGAGGAAACCCACTTTGGGAGGGCTGGGGAGTATGTCTGGAAGGTTTTGCACGCCATCCTGGTTGGCCTCCAAATAAGTGTTTAACTTTCTTACAAAGCCCTTCTGGTTTCGGGAGATAATAGCTTGGGAAGGAGTTTTAATTGGCAAATCACGGGCATATTTAAGAGATAGGGAGAAAGGACTGTACACCCTGAGGAAATGTGTCTTGCAAAGATGGTTTGGACCATTAGAATCACATTAGAGACATGTTGATGGGAAGCCAGCAGATCTGAGGCTGTCCCAAGTTCTTGGATTGATCACAGCATAGAAAAGCCTTGAATAAGTGTCTTGCTGTGCCTAAGATTTAGTTATCACTGTGTCTCTCTGTGTGCCGGTGATGTGTTTCTTATGATGGGCTTCTAATGCAATGTCACACTTACTATAGAAAATGGGAATCTTTTCTGCTGATTGAGAATACTGGCCAGGAATCCATACCCCTTGCTTGCTTCCAACACAATCACCTCTGGCTCTTCCTCTAGTCACTCACATGAATGAACACTGTGCTTCTCGTCTTGGGGATTTTAATTTGCAGCTGTTGGGCTCTCACTGGAAGCTAGACAGCATATGCTTTTAGTCCTAGCACCCAGTAGGCAGAGGCAGAGGCAGGTGGATCTCTGAGTTTGAGGCCAGCCTGGGAATCCCTGTCTCAAAAAAATAATTATATACCTAAGGTTTAACCTTGGTCCCCAAGACCAGTTTGTGGTGGCTTTTACTGTAGTCACTACTAGGATATAATGAACTCCTTAGAGTGCCCCACCTCACTGTGACATAGATATTCCCCACATAGTGTCTTTATATGGTTAACAGTGGTTTGTCCCCAATTTATAATTGACTTTAATTCCAGCACAGGGGAGACAGAGATAGGCAGATCTTTGTGAGTTTGAGGTCAGCCTGGTCTACTGAACAAATTCCAAGATGGCCTCCAAAGCTATAGAGAAACCCTGTCTCAGAAGAAAAAAAAAAGTAAGAAAAGAAAGGGCCTATGGACCCGTCAATCCCCCTCTTAGGCATATACCCAAATGATCCACATCCATGTAACAAAGACATCTGCTCAACTATGTTCATAGCAGCATTATTTGTAATAGCAAGAACCTGGAAGAAACCTAGATGTCCCTCAACTGAAGAATGAATAATGAAGATGTGGCATATCTACACAATGGAATACTACTCTGCAGAAAAAAAAAATGGAATCTTGAAATTCGCAGGCAAGTGGATGGCACTTGAAGAAACCATCCTGAATGAGGTAACCCAGTCCCAAAAAGAGGAACATGGTATGTACTCGTTCATATATGGATTTTAGACCTAGAGCAAAGGATCTCCACCTATAATTCATCCCAGGAACTGGGATACAAAGTGTATTCTAAGAGATTCATATAAAGTCCCTCACAGAAGCAGGAAGGGACAAGTCCCCCAGAGCACAGGGGAAGGGGGGGCAGTGAGTGGAGAGGGAACTAGGAGAAAGAGAGGGGGAGGAGAGGAAAGCACATGCAACTAGGAAGATTGAGTCAGGGTAGGAATAGAAGACAGAAGAGAGAGAGAGAAAGAGAGAGAGAGAGAACATAAAAGAAGAAGCCAATATTGGTTTGAAGAGAAAACTGAACCTAAAGTAAGGTCTAGAGACCTACAAGACTGCAGCCAACTAACAATTTGAGCAACTATGGAAAGGCTACCATAAATGCCCTTCCCGGATAGTGAGATCAACAACTAACTTATCCACCATCATGGAGCCCTCATCTAGTACCTGTTGGAAACAGAAGCAAACACCCATACCTAAACACTGAGTCAAACTAGAATCCAGATGCAGAGGGAGAAGACAAGACCAAGTTGCAGAAACACATAGAGACAGCTGACCTGAACAAGGAGAAGCTAACTGGCCTCCAGACTGATAGCTGGGAATCCAAAATGGGACTGGGTCTCAGCCAGAAGGACTGAGCAGTCTAAGGGACCTCAGACAGTGGAACCAGGATGTATTCCTGGTGCACAAAAGGACCTTGTGGACACATCCCCCATGGAGGGATACTGACTTAACCCAGAGATAGGAGAGAAGGCCTAGTCTCTACTTCAAACTTGACAGATCTACATGACCCCACCTGGATGGCATTGCCCTACATGTGGAATTGGGGTGGGGGGATGGGAGGGGAGGGTGGTTAGAGTGCATGTGAGGGGGCAGAGAGGGTAAGAAGGAGGAAGGGAGAGGGAACTGGGATCGACATGTAAAATAATAAAATAAATAAAAAGAAAGAAAAGAAAGGGCCCAGGATGGATATAATTAGGATATCTACTTCCCAGTCCAAGGCTGTGACCGTTAACCTTGTGGCATGAAGAGAAACCCCAGGAACCTCTCAGAGCTTGAGTCCTCTAATCATCCAATAAGGTGAAAGTCATGTTAGGAATGCAGGTTGTTGTATGTTCTGTGGACTGGGGTTCCTGATCTTAAGGAGCAAATTCTGCATGCCAGGGTTGGGGTGAATAGATTCCAGCACCTTTCCACTGGGGCTAGGAAATGATGGAAGCTCTTGATGAAGACCTCCTGGTAACTTAGCATTTCCTGCACTTCCCTCCGTCTGGAGTATAATGATAGTATCATTTGCAAGACTGTTCCCCTCTTGAGCAGCTTCTTGCCTGGCCTCTCCACTTGTCCTGTGGTGTGGATATCACCCTCCTGGCATTTTTTTTTTTTTTTTTCACAGCTC